TGTCTCTTGCATCTCTTTCCCAGCAACACGTGTTTCAGGAGCCCGTGTCTCTTTCAGCCACAGGTCTTCCTCAACCAGCAGTCAGAGAACGTTCTGCCTCTAGGAGGCCTCCTTTTGAGCCCGGCAGAGTGGCCGAACTAGCTAATCATACCATCAGAACTCTAAGCACATGAGAGAGAGTGGGCACCTCCCAGAACATTGTATTGTGCCACACCCAACAGAAATAACCCAGGTGGATAACATTTATAATCAGGTGCTCCTTAGCTGCTCATTCCACCACTGAGTTTGCAATGACTTATGGGTAGAAAAGCCGTACTAAGTAATTTACTACACTGCAGTGGCTTATTAAGGAAGTGACAGGGTACAACTTGGGATCAGGATCAGAATTAATAGGTTACAACTCAGGATCAGGATCAGGAAGCATGAGGCAAACTCTGGAAGGCTCCCCTGAAGTAGAAAACACATCCCTTCCTTTCTCAGTGCAGGACAGCTCTCTTAGCTCCTCTGGCTGCACAAGCAAGCAGGGCCTTCTTTCTCTGATGTGCATTCTCCCTCTTGGCCATGCAGATTTTCCCTTGGCCATGCACACCACCTTTCAGGCCCCTTAGGACAGGCCTATTCTTGGCCATGCACACTCACAGGCTGGCCTTGCTCTTGGCCTGACCTTCACTGCTGGGCTTCACTCTTGGCCTGGCCTTTGCCTCCAGGCCTTGCTGGGCCTGGCCTCTGCCCTGCTTGAGCAAGTTTTAGAGCTCTTTAGCTCCACTAGCAGTCAGCCACAGGGACCCAGGTAAGAGAGGTAGGAGAGGTTTCCAACAGGGAGACAAACTTGTGTGTTGGTTTGTCCTACTGTGGTGACGTGTTGATGTGAGTTTTGAGGCTAAACCACTGGTGTTTCAAACCCAGCGGGATGCACATGGTGCACAGGTATCAGCCCAGCTCACAGACTGAGACAGACTAAGAAGAAGGAAGAGGCCGTCCACTTCTCAAAGAATTGGCCAGGGAAAACCTTATGAATAACAAAGAAACACTGTCTGATACATTACCGCACAACTTTATGAATAGTCCGGTTAGGTTAGAAGGCTCTCAGATAGGACTGGGAAAGAGCTGCATCATCAGAGTAAACCCAGCCTTACTCCTATGGATAAGGTAAAGCTTTTGAGACCTCCGTTTGCTGATGTAGCACCA